TTTAGAGTTATCTTTTTGCTTCTTTCTTTGTCTTTCTTTTCCATCTTCTTATCTCCATTTTGAGTACATTTTGTGTGACTGTGATTTCTTATGATTTTGTAATCTAACTTTATATTTCTTTTCCATGTAACAACTATGAATTTTGTTATCTTTTATTTTTGCTTCTTTAGTTTGTAAATGTTTCAACTACGAATCTACTTACACCATCTATTGTCACCTTCATTCTATTTTTATACACTATTTTAAAAATATTTTTTATCGTTTTAAGCTTCATCTTCCTTAAGATAAATTGGTTTACAAAAAAATTCAAACCCGATTATACCCACCCGCTTAAATCCGAATCCGTTTCAACCCGAACCGCCTCAAATCGAAAGCTCAGTCGGTCGGATATGAGTCACATTTTTTCAAAGTCGGTTTACAATGGGTTGGACATTTTTCACCCGAACCCGACCAAACCCACCCATTGCTCACCCCTAGGTATTGTCCTCGTTAAACGCTTCAGTCATTGCATTATGATTTATGATTGGTCTATATCTTACGCAATTAACAGGTATACGTGGTCGTATCGTAAACAACAAGGACCCGTTTTAATTTTTACGTTATTTTTTTTATATATATACTTTTACCGGAAGGTCGAAGCTTCCTTTGCTTTTGCTCTTCACTTTTTATCACATGTGACATGTGAAGGTGACCAAGTCAAAAAAGGTAGGTAATTAAGGTTGCGTTGTCTCATGTTGCGAATTTTCTTCGCAAATGGTAGAAGAACTATATCGAGGCAAAAATTAAAATACAAGCAAGGAGCTACTCTACACTAGGATCAAATTTCTTTACCATCATTTTAGCTTCCCTAGTTTCCATGGACTTGTTGGATAAAAACTACATTAATTACCAACCATATATTTTATATATCATTAGGAATGGCCTTCTGCTATATTTATGAATTATGCAAGGTTTTGGTTTGAAGATACATGATACAATGAAAAAATAAATAAATGGATTTGCAAAGTCTTCATTTGGACCGGGAACACGTCATTGTTCTAGACCTTCTAGTTTCATTTGACACTTTGTTTACGTAATCATATATATGTCGTAATGGTGTTGAAGAGAATATAAGAATTGCGTCTTTGTGCGTACTATTTGTCTCAATTTTCATCCGAGTCTTAGTCTTCATCGACTACCTGTGCAACTTTTATAAGGTTTCAATAGGGCAGAGGATTTTGAAAGTATATATTAAAAATTAAAAAACAAAGAAGTTTTTTCACATTCATGCTCATGAGATGGAATCGAGTACTAAATATATGACCTTTTCCAGGAGAATTTTATATTCGTGGTTTAGCTCCTTTTGCTAAGACCCAACCTCCCGTTAATTAAGGTTAAATTTTCTTTGATATCGCAATTGGATGTTTCGATCGATCGGTTGATGCCAAACTTGATTTGGCACGAATCGTGTTCATACTACCCAAAATTGTCTCTAACGGGGCATCTTAACAAACATGTCACTAGTTAGGTACTAAGCTGGATTTTAGCCCAAGTTAAGATCCGTGATACCAAGACATATTTTAGCCCAATTAAGCATGTCACTAGAGCGTGCTGTTGGAATTTTCTTCATTTGGTTTTCTATTTATTCATATATTTTGTTTTATTAAAATACGAGTTGAATATATATATAACTTTAAATATTTTATCTGTTTATTGGGCCAAGTCTAATATCACGTCAAATTCATATGTTTATTAGAACAAGTGTCCTATGTAAGGCCTAATACCTATGATGGTAGGATATTAGGTTAAGATAAGATATCCTACAAAACTAGTGCTTTGTGACAATTCATTGATAGTGTATTTTGGAAAGTAATTTTGTATGTATTTATTTAATTTTTTTTTACTTTTGTATGTATTTTATATTTATGTTTTGTCTTAAATTTATGATAGTGGTATTATTTGATGATTGTTGCAATTTTTACTCAATTTTTGAATTTTTATCCATTTTTACACTCTTTTCTTGTACATGTCATATCTGGACTCCAAATATTGGATTTCAACGTTCTTGGTGTTTATGGAAAGATAAAAGAGAGTTTTACAACTTCTCTGTTGAGAGCAAAGGTTAGCTCAGTTGTTAAGGGAGCCAAAAATGCATTGTAAGATTGCGATCTTTTACAACATTTTCTGTTTGTTTTTAGATTGTAATGATATGATTTGTTTAGTGATGTAATTAGTTGATTTAGTGGGTTGGGCCTTTAAGTACTAAGATTAGGTCTATTATATTTCTTTATTAATAGGTGTTGTAAGAATTATTGTGTACACTTTACACTCATTTATGAATTTCTGATATCTTGCGGTAGAAGCTTCTCTCATTTTTCTCTCGACTCTCTTCTTTTATTTTTCACGAATTACTCTCTATTTTAGTCGAGACTCTTCATCTTTTTTTCGAATAAATTTGTGAGTGAACAATAATGGAGATGCGTGACTAAGTTCTCTTAATCAATTCAAGTTTTCGATTATGCATGACTAAGTTCTCTTAATCAGTTCAAGTTTTTGATTATGTAGTAAAATCCTCTTAAATATCAATTTCTCTCTTCTCTTCCTTTTTGTTCTTCAATTAATTTTGAATTAAATTCATGATTATGGATTTCGTTTTTGACTAATCGAAGAACATAATTATTTCAAATTAATTTTAGAACACGGAATTGAATTCAATTCGAACTAGGAAAATAAACTTTGTAGGGCTTTCAAAGAGCACATTTGCATTTTTCGTTCTTTAATATGAATTAAATATTAAATGTTGAAATTCGAATTATATTATTTTTATTGCAATAATCAGAACTTGAATAGATTATTTATCCAATTGGATTTAAAAATTCGTGATTTTGTAGAGTTTAAATTTTAATTTATAATTACTGTACATAAAGTGTTGGATAAAAATTCCCTCTCCAATTCTTGATAAAATTCAAATTCCTGTGAATTATGTCCTCTGTGGAGATGACCTAGGTTATTCCCTATACTCCAAATAGTTTTATGAGAAAAAATCTAGTTTTATTTGATAACGTTCGACATTGTTATCACTCACTACTCAATTCAAGAGTCAATCAAAGAACGCTTGTGTATCTGCTTCTATGAGATAAGGATTGCTCCAGAAACAATGTTTTTAAAAACTATGCAATTTATGAGTACTTTCTTTTGTCAGTAAATGCTAGTAATTGTGCAAATATATTTTATTATTCTTTTGGGTGCTCTAAATGTTGGTATAAATCCAATTATTTTATGCACACCAAAAAAGTTCCAATTGTCAAAAGTTTGTTGTTACTTAAAGTTTGTTTGACTTGTGTATATAATAATAGATTATAATAGATAACCATTTTTGTTTCACCATATTTGACCTTAATAATTGGACATCATACTTTGAAAAATATAGTTAAAGCAAAATAGATAATGTTTTTGAGTTCTCTTATCCTATATTTAGATAAGAAATGAGATAGAAATGAAAGAAACGTCAAACGAGGGGAAAAAATATAGAAATTATATAAGAGTAATATTAATTGCTTAGTAAAATAAAGGGACAAATTATATACGAATAATTCAAATCACTTTTGTCAACCACTTAAGTTTTTTTCCCTTCAAATAATGCAAGTTCCTACTTCAAAATGTGGAGCTTATTTACTTATTGAGAAATATATATTTTTCTAAAAACCTTCCTATTACTTCATAAAAAAACATTAGATAAAAAATAAGAGTTAATCACCTATACATTGTCAGTGTAAAATTTTTTATACTGACAACCAATCAGATATGTTAATAGTGTTTTATTTTATTTTAATTTAATTAAATAAGAAAATGACATGACACTATTAATAGATTTGATTGGTTACCAGTGTAAAAAAACTTTATACTGGTGGTGTATAGGTGATTAACTCAAAAGTAAATGTATCTTGGAAAGGAAAAAAAAAATACAAAACACTCGCACAATCGGTGTGAGAATAAGGGTAACCTTAATGACATTTTAGTGATCCAATAACATAGAGTAAGAGTACAGCCAGCCCAAACTCTGGATAAATATAAAATAAAATAAGGCAATAGTGGTCGCTACAAACTGCATTCAATTCATTTTTCTTTTTTTAGGACCGAAGAGATGCGTAGTAATAACTAGCATCCTCAATTTCAATTAATGTTATGTCCCTTTACCTTAATCGTACAAGCGACTAAACACTAAAACTTGTTCATACAGATGGAGCTGTAATTATGCGCAGTTGTGACACTAGAAACTTGTTCAAGAACAAGTTACACCTATTGCTGAATTGTACAATTGATCCAATATATTACCCAATACATACGATTCGTGTCGTGTTCATACACATTCCAATCGATGAAGTATCCAAATTTTTATTTTAATGTTTCCAAAAATTGTCATTTCTTCTTGTATCCAACTTTTCAGTCTCTACGTTTATGAGATGAGATAAAAGAATAGGTAACACTTAGCCCCAAAAAATTGATCTCCAAATCTTCCAAAGTCCAATTCTGGTTATAGACAGACATTAATTGTGGTCCACATCACTGAATTTGACATTTGCGTCGTGCTTGCTAAAGATTGTGGCAACACATTCACCCTCTATCCTCACGTACGCGACTAAAAGTGGACAACAAATTGATGCCTTTCGGCTTAGGTGAAGGACCACAACATGGGGTTATTGAATTCGCAGTCATAATTTTATGCCAAAAAACAAATCAATTAACGGCATGCAAGGCTCAAAATCTTGTCGGTGCATCTTATAAAAAGACAAAATAACAAAGTAATTGAAATCTTCATGAGTTCCAGACACATCTTGCAAGAAAAATTTTGCACAGGGAGTTGGTTGTGAACCATATGAGAAAGCAGATTCTAGCAGCATTTGTGTTTGTGGGTCATGTAGCATGTGTAGCTAGTTGGAGTTGGCATCCTTTTTAAAACAGTTCAACCACAACACCATAAACATATAACATGCTCTGCCGTGTGTCTAGTGGCACATGAATTAGTCAACAAGAAATGGAATGCTCACCCACATCAATATCAATAATAACGCTAAAACAACTACTCAGATAAATATACATAAATATAACTTATTAAACGAGAATACAAGCAGAAAATAGGTTCGAGTCACGCTGAATTTTATCTACTTGATCAAGTAATGTAACGCAGATGGTAAAAGTGAGAAAACATGAAAATAGTCCCTCATGTGATCCCATTCCCCTACTCTCAAAATGGCATGAGAGAAAGTAAAAGGCAGAAAATAAGGGGTCCAGCAGAAAAGGGTATCAATGGTGGTGCTGCGTTCCCAGGAGATGGTGTTGGAGCTCCATTTACAGTACCAGTTGCTGTAGTAGCAGATGTAGGAGAAGGGCCTGCAACGAAACTTATAATCATTCAAATTAGGAACACCAGTCAAAGGTGAAAAGCTTCAAGATCTTTCACACACAAGGTAGTAAATTATTAACACATTGGGGGGGAAAAAAACAAGTAATTGATGGCACAATAAGTCTTAAAAAAAGAAAAATGTTGAGAAAGTAGGTAAGGTGGAGAAGAGAGTATGAGAGACATCCCCCATGGCAGGGTTTAGAAGAGAAGCAAAGAAAGATTGTGATACCAGGAGCAGGAGCAGGAGAAGGCGGTAGAGAGACTGCAAAAGAAGAAAGAGGGCATTAGGAAAAAAAGGGATAAAAAAGGGAAGTAGTGTGAGAAAAGAGGGACTGACATCCACAGGAAGAAAAAGAAGGAGCAGAGAGTTTGCATGCAGCAGGAAGAGAGAGGGCCTTGGTGACATTCAAAACGATGCCGAACTGAGAGCTGCTCTTGAGAGCCTCACAGAGGCAGTGGGGAGCGCTTTTCAGGACGCTTTTCAAGGAAGGGCAGCATGTTCCAGTCGGCTTCGTGGCGGTGCTGTCGTTCGTCACGAAGGACAAGCAATCCGACAAGGTCAGGGCCAAGCTTGTGCAGTCCACCGACGGTGCCGGAGCCTGAGCCTGGGCCTGGCCCAGATCAACGGCCCAGATGGCCACCACGGCGCACACAATGAGAAACCACTTTGAAGATGATGCCATGGCGAAGTAATGGAAGTAATGGAACTTTCAACTTTGAGGTTCCAACCAACTAACAAAGAGAGTGTGTATGTGTCACTTGTGTCAGGTGGTCCTTTATGGTGGACCTGTCACCTTCTCCGCTGTTACGCAATATTTAATTATCACAAGTACCAATTCTTATTATTTTTTTAATATTACTTTACCTTTAACTCTTTTCAATTTTAAATTTTAGTCTTTCTAATCTAAGAGATTTTTTAATTTATATATTTATAATTCTTTAAAAAAAATGAGATGAAAACTATTAAAGTTGTAATTATGATCAGATTCACGCAAGCTAATTACAATATTCTCCATTGGCACAAATCGAACCAAACAATTGGCCTGGTAATCTTGATTGTATTAGGACATGTGCTGTATTATGCTCACCTATAGGTATAATTCCACCTTGGTATAGAAAATGTTTACGTTATTGTATAAAAAATAAATGTTCCAATAGATCAATCAATGATACCTGTGATTGTATGACTAGATGTGGTTTGACCAAGTCCATTGATGATAACATAGGTAAGTATTCTCTTACAACATTAACCACATTTTAGTATTTTATGATTGAGTAAAAATATTTTTACATGTTTTTATAATTGATTTTATGTGGTAGATGTTCGTAATTTTGCTCCCAATGTGGTGAATTCTTGCTTACAAGAGTGTCAAAACAAATAAAATCTTGTTGGAATAAGGTTTGTGAGAGTTGTCAGAAAAATAATATTTGTGCACAATTGTAATAAAAAAATCTTAATAAATGAATAAATAACATCTCTAGCTTCTTAATAAATGAGTAAATATGCTTGTTAATAACGATCACACTAATAAGTTATTAGATTAAAATGTAAAAACAAATGTATATGAATAAATATCAATGACCAATTAAACATATTAAGAAGCTTGAAAACATTTCGTATGAGCTTGGCAACAAAGCTTTAAAAAAATTAGCTGGATTTTTTCTTTTGAAAAAAAAAAGTTCACTCCTGTATAAAATTATTTTTAAAAATTTTAATCTTCTTCTTGAACTAAAGAATAGAGCTATATATTAGAAACCAAATCTTGTTTATGTATAATATTCAAAGAGTAAAGAATACTTGCAATTGATATAATGCATTTACTGTGAGTCCTCTTTGTCTAATTTTCGTTTTGCTTTATATAAGTGGTTGTTGTGATGACTTGCAAAAGAGACCGAATAAAAAGGGAAAATTAAAAATAGTGAAAAACACGCATGATATTTTTAAGCAATTCTTATTTCATACATTGTCGGAAATAATTTTGTCTTTTTTTTTATATTTTTTTTAAGTGGAGGATAAAGTTGATGGGGGGGGGGGGGGGGGAGTGAGAATGATAGAGGACCGAATAGCTCTGGAAATATAACGAGAAAAAATAATAACTCATGACTATGAAGATAAATTCACAAAACTGTTGTTTTGTATGTACACATGGAACATAGATAACATGTCAAAAGAATGAGAAAGAGGTAACTAGCTAGCTAGGTTGAACTAATGACACTATAACAGTTACGTCATCAAGCTTGCCACCAATATATCCCACATACCCCACAGCCTGGGCTGCATCAGCAAAAGGACTTCTTGTGGATGTTGATCTTCCAACATCTTGTGCTCTCATCGCCAAGAATTCTGCTATTTCCTGCAACTTACCCCACATAAGCTGTCAAGTGGTTTAGACTTTAAACTCCAGAAGAATCAGCTTTCATTACAGATGACTTTATTGAAAAATGTTGTCTACTTTTGTGTTCCTTAACAAGATAAATGACTGTTTTCTCACCCATAGAGTTGAGATGACGAATTCCATGATACATGATATACATATTGTTAGGATTCAAACAAGTTCTACATCGATAAAATAGGATAAGAAATAACAATTTATATAGCACAAACATACTTCAATGATTAAGAGGCTTTTTGGGTGATAACCAAAAACAAAACTGTGAGGGCTTAGGCCCAAAGCAGACAATATCTCATTATTGTAGAGTATGCTTGTGTAATAATCCTAAGATATGCTAGTACGCCTCTTTCTAACATTCTCTTGCTAATACTCTATTATTGGTTGAAAATCATAAATTTTAGTGAGTCCTACCACTAAATCAAGAGAGAGTCTTGTTAAATGAGATACAAACTTACAAATTTTGTGATTTTTAATAAACTTTGACAAATAACAAAGAGAGTGTCACTAGCATTCTTCGTATATATAATGCTGAGAAGAAATTTCTTTAAAAAGCGGAAGATACATTGACGGATCCAAAATTAAAAGAAGGGCAAAGTGAATCAACCTGAGGTGTCAAGCTAGCCTGAAGTGATTTTGATATAATTGATGCTATTTCTTGCTCATAAAGATTGTCGAAAAGGCCATTTGTGGCGGTTACTATCACATCACCATCTTGTAGTTCGATTTTGTACCCCTGAAACATGTTTTACCTTGAGTTGATATCATATTAAATGAAATATGTTCAAATTAATATTTTAGTTTTAATGAATATTAATTATTTAGCAATCTAAAATCCTCCTGTGTCACTTGTAAACTTTAGTCTCACTGTTCAAATGAAGCGTAACTAAAAGCTCATCATGGCCACGGGAGAAAGGTATATAAGGAATAATGCTTCCAAATATGATAAAATGCTACAGGTTAGATTACATACCTCAATGAGTTCCGAGGGATCATCACCTTTAACTATATGTAATGGAAAGTTGAATTCATGAAACATTGGAGTTGATTTTTTAAAGATGGAACCATCTCTTATAATGATAAATCCAGTGTTCCCAACATTGGCTGCATGAAGGACCTGCAAATAAATTGTTTTATGATTCACATAATTGAAAAATGTACTGCAGGGGGAAGGAGGTACACTGGATTTGTACTGCTATCAATCATTTGAGCTACACAATTTAGAGCCTATTTGAATACTAACTTTTGAGAATTTCTTTACTGGAAAAAAAAAAAAAAAGAGAAACTCTAAAAGACTCTTCTAAATTTGTACCCAAACACACTATTAATCTGTTATAATTTAAACCATTAAAACAGTCAGTCATTTACCTGTCCATCAAAATGAGCAACCAAAACTGCAGATGATCCTGGAGATTGTGTTTCAGCAGCACCTCTGGTGATAACTTCCAAAGGTTTTATCGCTGAACTGTTTTCATAATTTGACACAATATTTTCACATTTTTCCATGAGCTCCCTGGTATACAGTCCAGCATTGCTCCCTGCATTATTTTCTCAGGTGTATAAGCAATGTATACATTTAAACTTGCAAATTCTACAGATCAGAGATCTGACAGTGGCAACTGGCAAGCTATGTGAAGCTTGTGACGGATGCTAGCCACTCTTATTTCAGTCCAATAGATGAAGATAGTAAATGCAGATTTGGAATTTACAAAAGGGAGAGCAAACCTAATTTCAATAGTAATAAGCTAACATTCTATGCAGAAATTTTGTGCCAGACTGCACGTCTTTAAGCCGACACAGAAGGGGAAAAAATGAAGGCATATTAATGCTCATGGGTTTCCAAATATTGTAGAAAGGATACCATTAAATGACCACTGGCCAACTCCATCAGCCACTGCTAGCCAGTTTTGGTGAGAAATGAAATAAGCATCCTCTCGACCTGTCAATGCCTGAAATGTGTTATTAGTTGGTTTATTAATCATCTGTCATTCGAGATTCAAGCCAGAAATCACTTATAAACGTCATGCATATGTTCATGAATATATAAATGCAATAAACATGTCAAATTTCTAAGCTACAAATATTTGCAAATTGTTGGTTACATTGCTTCTAGATTTGAGTAAACTAAATAATGCAGTTTGGAGCTCCAACTTCTAACAACTTAGATTCCATATCCTGCTGACCAAAAAATTAAAGTTAGTCACTCCCATTCGAGTGTCATTACTCATTACCTTCGAATAGAATTTAACATTTCTCACTTCCTTCTATCTACTGGATATACACATCTGACATGAGTACTCCCAGATTTATTTATTTATTGCTTGTTTGTAGCAATCTTCCCAAAAATTTGTGTATAACTCTATTTTTCAGTTTCACTTTAAAAACATCATACATATCAATGGTACCAAAATTGAAACAAGAGCAATTTTGATAACGACTTTTTTAAAAGAAAAATTATATTAAAAAGGAAACGGGAAACAGTCACAAATTCACAATAGTGATTAGTTATTAACAGAGGAGTAAACCTGTATCATTCCCTAGCAACATATAGAAAACATAACTTGAATCATTCAATTTTTTTCCCCAGAATTTGGTTTAACTAGGATACTAAAATCCCATCACTCTGTCTTTTGTAAGCTTAACATGCTTCATTCTCATCCTTATTGTCTGAGCAGAATGACTCAAGATATTGAGGTACGTAAGGTACCTTAGAGGGATGAGGCAAGCAAGCAGCACCAGAAATCAGGAAAAGCTCCGTTCTTGACATTTTTTCCCTACGTACATGCAAGTAAACAACACAAAGAACCATGAAAAAGATGTTTCCAAATTCCGAAAAGTTTTTCAAGCATCAAACCTATATACTTGCATCTATAATGATTTGGTTCTGCTTTTTTCTTTTATTAGAATAAGATGACCATTGGGTACTATTGTGCTTCATTCCTCACTAACAGCAATATTATAACTCGCACCTTATATAACTTCTATAACACTCCAAGTTTTGAAAACTATCATTGCTTTATCACTAAATTCAGTAATTAGATCATATGCAGAAACAATCCTTTTAAAGGAAAAAGGATAAAGTTTTCACAGGCGAGAATACATTTCATAAATCATAACTGAAGACAACAGGAAGAAAGAGTGAAAATAATTTAGAATACAGAAAAGAAAGAAGAAAGTTGGCATACCCATTACTAGCCATATCAACTGAATGTATCTGTGGCAAAGTAAGCTGTGATGTGCTTTCATAATCACTTCTTTCAGTATTGCCAACATCTATGTTGTTTTCCAAATCTGAGGATGGAACCACGTCATGTAACTAAACCCAAAATTAACACAGAAATCATATTAGAAATGGTAAAACATAAATCCAGAAAAAATCGATTCTTGAAGGGGATGTTTTCAGCAATTAAGGTCAATATAGTTGGATAGCTAAATGCACTCAAACAAAATCACATGCACAGAAAAAGTAAATTTTAGCCTTTGTAAGGAAAGTTATTAAGACTAACCAATTCTGAATTTCCCATTTTACTTGTATCAATTGAGTCATCCACAATGAGGTGAGTTTTTTCTTCTTCATTTGCTACTAGTTGAGACTGTAACGAAGTGGATACTGGCATCAATTCACTTAAGTTGGCTTCAACATCACCAATCAGGTTGTTTGTTTCACTATAACCAACTTGTTCAGACTCTAAAGAAGTGGGTTCTGGCACCAATTTACTTAAGTCGGCATCAACGGCAACAGTCTGGTTGTTTGTTTCACTATAACCAACTTGTTCAGACACTAAAGAAGTGGGTTTTGGCACCAATTCACTTAAGTTGGCATCAACAGCAGCAGTCTGGTTGTTTGTTTCACTATAACCAACTTGTTCAGACTCTAAAGAAGTGGTTTCTGGTACCAATTCACTTAAGTCGGCATCAACAGCAGCAGTTTGGTTGTTTGTTTCACTATAACCAACTTGTTCAGACTCTGAAGAAGTGGATTCTGGCACCGATTCACTCAAGTCAGCATCAACACCACCAGTCAGATTGTTTGTTTCACTATGACCAGCTTGTTCAGACTCTAAAGAAGTGGATTCTGGCACCAATTCGCTTACATCAGCATCAACAGCAGTAGTAATTGGGTTCTTTGTTTTACTTTTACCAACCTGTTCAGACTCTAAAGAAATGGATTCTGGCACAAATTCTCTTAATTCAGCATCCACAGCAGCAATAAGGTTGTTCGTTGCACTATAACCAACTTGTTCAGAGTCTTCAGACTCTAAAGAAGTAGATTCCGGCACCAATTCACTTAATTCACCATCCACAGCAGCAGTCTCGTTGTATGTGGCACTATATCCAACTTCTTCAGACTCTAAAGCAGTCGATTCCAGCACCAATTCACTTAATTCAGCATCCACAACAGCAGTTTGGTTGTTTTTTTCACCATATACAACTTGTCCAGACTCTAAAAAAGTCGATTCTGGCACCAATTCACTTAATTCACCATCCACAACAGCAGTCTGGTTATCTGTTGCACTATAACCAATTTGTTCAGACTCCAAAGAAGTGGATTCTGGCACCAATTCACTTACATCAGCATCAACAGCAGCAATCTGGTCGTTTGTTGCTTGATAATCAACTTCTTCAGACTCTAAAGAAGTTGATTCTGGCACCATTTCACTTAAGCCAGCATCAACAGCAGCAGTCAGGTTGTTTGTTGCTCCATCTTCACCATAACCCTTGCCAGCTGTAGAGAGATGAGCAACTTCAATGTTAGCCTTCTACCTGACAAACACAACAATAACTATTAAAAACTTCAATGGATCATGTTGACTAAAAAGACACTAAATAAGCCACAACATCACCTTTTTCTTCCTCCTCAACGTTTGCATAAGCGCCACTGTTCAGATCAGAAACTACATCAAACTCAGAAGCAACAGTTGAAACTACAGCTTCTTGGTAACTAACAAGTTCAGAACCGTCCTCAACCAGGACACTATTACACTCAGCACCAACATCTTCACCTAAAATTCCATGTTGACCATCACCATCCTCCACGGAATCCAACTTCAATTGTCGATTGACTTTCTGTGAATCATTGATCACTGGTGTCCCAGAATCGCTATAAGAAATAACACCCTCCTTTTCATTCACGAGAATCTGATGATTTTGATCAGCAACACCAACTACTACAGTTGAAGAAAACTCACTTTCATCCCCTAAAGTGCGATCAACCTCAGTGTTCAATTTTTCAACACTTTCACTCACCAAAACAGCTTTGCCCTCTTTCTCAATACTCTCACGAGCAAGTTTTTCTCTGTTCAATTCATCTAATTTTTCTCTAATCTCGCTAGCATTAGCGAACCGGAACACAAAACTACCATCAGAACGCTCTGCCAAAATAATCACAAACTCAAGTACATATTGCAAAGTTCAGAAAAAATAAAAATAAAAAATTGCCAAAATTGACACAAATACCAGTTGAAGAGAGAATATCAAAATCTTCAGGAACAGAGTTTGGCGAAGAAGTAGCATTGTGAAGCACATGGGTACGGTGGGTTAAGCTCATCCACTGCTTGGGAAGAGGAATTGGAGCATAATTTCGAAGCCTTTCAGAAGATTTTGGTGGAAGATTGCAGCATGGAAACCAGAGACAGTGGAAACTTCGGGAGAAGAGAGGAGCCATTTCATCAAGTTCTGTTTTTTTATTTAATTTTATTAATTTTTTTTCAAGTTTTGCATGATTTCCATTATGGGTGTGTTTATGAAACCGAGAGTGAGGATGAAGGTGTAGAAAAGGAAGGACATGTGGACAACAGATTTCAGACAGAAACAAAGGAAGAGGAATTGCTGAATCTTCTCCACCTTACATTCATCCATGTGTCATTATGTTGTGTTGTGTATTACCTTCCAAAAATAAAAAGTAATAATAATAAACAAATCTATTTAAATTTGTAAAGTAGAGCAAAACAACTATAAAATAAAGGACCACGTGAATCTAATCATTCTTGCTAAGGTATGGAAGAAATTTTACACTGATTTAATCACAATTTGGTATGTATTTTGGGTTTCTTTAAAAAATTGTTGGTTAATAGTTTTTAATATTAACCTGAGGGCAACCATACAGTGTTTAACAGTGAGGTTGGTATAGTGGAGTAAGTTCCTTGAAAGGGTCCTAGAGGTTGATCATGCAAAGTTGCTCCATCGTGTTGGTGTGGTGGTGAAGGAGATGCGTTACTAACCAAGTTTTATATGATACATTATTAAAAAAATATATATTTATTAATTGTATCCCGTGAAAATAGACTAAGATATGGTCACAAATTATGTAATCATTTTCTACTCAAGCAAGAGATATCTATCATACATGCTACATGCAAAGACTGGGACGCTATTGTCAGAACATTATGTGTAAGGTACATACTTGGTCGAGATCGCACATGATGTATTTACAGATGACAATTGAGAGGTTTGATTTTCATTTACAATCATTATTTTTTATTTACACACACACAAAAAATATTTTCTATTGATTGTTGAAGATTATTTTTTTTTTCTTTCTGAGAAGTATAGATCAATAAAATGAATTTTGTTTTTTTTAATAAAATCTTCTTCATTTACAATTTAGAAATTGAATCTCTAACAACATACTTAAATAACTTAATTATCTATCAAATGACTTCTCTTTATTTTAAGAACTTGTACATATGATAAGTTTCTCTCGTAAGAGTCACTCTACTGTAAGTTGAAGGTAACAAGATTAATAATGTTTAATAGTTGAGTGACAATTTTCTTTATTAATAAAGTATCCAGTCGAGAAAAGAAGATTTAATGAATTAGTCAACCAAGAATCAAGTTAAATACTTATTGACCCATTAACAAGTGTATCAATGTCAATGATAATTAATTATGAATATAAGTCATTTCCTCATGAACGTGATTGATAAAAGATCATTTCATAGTTAAATTAACTAATTAATAATTTTATTCACAGGTATATACACAAAGGCTAATTAATTTAATGCAACAATAAATTACATATGTTTTTATAAAAGCAAGAATTATAAACCAAATCAAGAGAAGTTGAGAAATTCCAATGATAGATAATTTGGGATTGGATTCCCCTATTCCATTCCTTTGTGATATCAATCAAGCAGACATTTGATAATCCCTATCTCACAATATTATTTAAAATTAAAACCATGACCATTTTATTATTTTATTAATTTCAAGTTTAAATACCTTTTATTTTTATAATTTCATTAATTTTACTTTTTAATTTCTATAATTAAAAATATTTTATTATAATATTTATACATATCTATTTTTTGTATAATTTCATAAATTTTACTTTTAGTCCTTATAATGATATATGAATAAATTTAAAATAATAATATATATAAATATTAAAATAAAAACATTTTTAGTTATAAAATCTAAAAGATAAAATTAACTATAAAGACTAAAATTAAAGAAAACCTTTATACAGAGTTAAAATTTCAAAACTGATTCATTCTTTCATTTTTTTTTTTTATCTACATTTGTTTCTTGAAAACAAAAGTTAATTTTACTCAGTATCCGTTGACCTTCTTATAAAAAGTATATGTTGTAGTGTTCACTTAAGTGTTGTATATTTCGTTTTCTCAATGGTTAGTGATAACTATTAGTGGTGGTGTTATTATCAATTTACTAACTTTTGTTTGTATGAGATGTTATTAATAAAACGATTATATTAGAAATAAAAAAATATATTTTTATTAAAATATATTATATTTAATACTGTTAAAAATGTCCTCAGATATAACCTTTAAAATAATTATTAAAAAGTATATTCTTTTCATATAACAATAATAATAATAATATATAATTAAGTGGTCGGCACTTTCTAATTGATTTTAATATTTTAACATGGTTTTTAATATAATATTTTTTTTTTGTGTTATACAACAAAGTTAAAACTTATAATTTTTTTTCATTAGCGAGAAGTATTTTTGTTGAATATAATGACTAATTTTATTAAAAATTTGACAGATATTAAATAAATGAGATTCCTCTTAATTTAAGTTTTTTACGTTCATAAAAATTAATATTTGAATTCGTATCATTTGGTTAAGCAATATGAGATGAAATGATTCTATATTTGTATATATTATTCATATATATAGTGTTATATTGACTCTAATGGATTATAAAATATTTTATATATTAATTCTTTAATCATAAAAAAAATATTTTTCAAAAAGTCAAGTTTTTTACATCTTTTGTAGAAATTTTTACTTAAATAATATTTTTTTAAAAAAAATTACAAAAGTATCAACTGTGCAAGTTTATTTACCAATATAAAACTGTTTACAGGCTCAAAATTCGGTTCCCGGGGAACCGAATTCTGAGCTTCAAAATCTTATTTTTTTTTGTTTTGTTTCAAGTTTATTTTTTTTTGTCTAAATATATTATTTTAATAAAATTGATTGAATAGTTAAAATTTCATCCGATAATTATATTGTCGGAGAGAATATATTCCCTATAATTCAGGGATAATTGTACGTTTTAAGCGCAAGATATTATCTTAAGTGATTGTCTAAATATATTATTTTAATAAAATTGAATGAATAGTTAAAATTTTATCTGATAATTATATTGTCGGAGAGAATATATTCCCTATAATTCAGGGATAATTGTACGTTTTAAACGCAAGATATTATCTTAAGTGATTGTCTAAATATATTATTTTAATAAAATTGATTGAATAGTTAAAATTTTATCCGATAATTATATTGTCGGAGAGAATATATTCCCTATTTATTGCTTAATATCCCATTATTTTAACTTTATTATCTTCTTTTAAAAAAAATAAATAAAAAATTTAATCTTTTTTTTACTGTTTGACCAGAACGGGCCGTTCCAAAACCAGAACGTCCCGTTCCAAAACCAGAACGGGCCGTTCCAAACCACGTTCTACTTCCTGAAAACATCTTTCAGAACGGGCCGTTCCAGGGCCGTTTCAGATTAAAAAAATGTTAAATTTTTTTATTCTGGAACGGACCGTTCAGGGCCCGTTTTAATTTAAAAAAAGGACTCTGTATTTTTAAGCAGAACGGCCTGTTCTACTTCCGGAACGGGCCGTTCCACTTCCAACATTTGCCCAATATGGGCCAGAAACACGAAAAAAAAAAATTTAAATAACTCAGAATTCGGTTCCCCGGAACCGAATTCTGAGTTGAAAAAACAAAAAAAATAAGATTTTGAAGCTCAGAATTCGGTTCCCCGTAAACAGTTCTATATTGGTAAATAAATATGCACAGTTAATACTTTTGTAATTTTTTTAAAAAAAATATTATTTAAGTAAAAATTTCTCTTTTGTATCTCCTTCAATTGGTTTCTCCTTTCCTTTGCTTAAGCCAATATTCACATTCAACACAAGAATTGGACCATTTTATTTTTATGGCCCAGTTAACAACGATAACGATTAAAAACATCATCTATAAAGTGTTATTTATTAGTTAATCAAAATAATAAAAGTTACTTTGTTTAGTTAAAATGAGAAAACACAAGTTGAAAAATGAAGGAAAAGCCTCATAATGTTTATTTATTTAGATAACCCTTTAAAAATCTAAATTTGGTTTTATCTCTCTACATTTTATCTTCTTTTTACTTTTTTTTTACCACATTTATCATTTCCTTCTCTTTTTATTTTTATTTATTGTCTCTGCCTTTTACTTTTACTCTCCAAAATTAGAGTATGCATGAATCATTATTCTTTTTATATCTATTTATTGAAAATATTTTTTTAAAATTAAAGCCCAAAAAGTTTAAAGGTTACTTCTTTAAATAAATGATTTTGGAAAAAGTACCAAAAACAAGTAAAAGTGCTTCCAATTAAAGAAGAAACTAACTACTTTCTTTCATTGTTCAAGCACTATTTATTTAAGAATACTAGTAAAATGCAATCTAAGTTATTTATAAAATTGGTCTAATATTTAATCTAAAAATTAATGATAAAAGATTAGTTATATCGCAACAGAAATCCAATTGTTATTTCTTGTAAGAGAAAAATTTAGTATACTCTTTATCACACTTTTTATTAGAAGTTTATTGAAAACACAATTTTATAATTTTACATTTAATGAGTATACTAATGAGTTTATTGTTTCTAATAAATTATAACCAATAATATATAAAAAAATGGTAAGAAATCTATTGCTAACACTCTTCAATCAAAATATCCTTGGTTTTTAAAACTTCTCTCTATCCTTGGTCCTTGTATTCTTTATTTTTTTTTAAATTGTAAAATAAATTTTATTCACTTCTTTGGTCGCTGTTAGATATTGGCCGTGAACTTTGATGAGAAGCATTTGAAATAATAAGGAATATACGATGGATTTTGTGAGGTGAAGAAGCACGTTGTGCTCATCCACATGTTGCTTCATTAAAATGGTTTTGTTGGGACGTGCTTCTCTTGCAAATTATCTTCCTAAACATGGACAATATACAAGTGGAGTGGAATAGGTGGTTGAGTTATCCACGTGGCTAGAGGCAACATGGGATGAGGATGGACATCTAGTTCCCATTGGTCCGAAATCTATCCACGATAGCTTAAGATTTCTTCTACAGATTTCATTGTCCTACTTGGCCTTCTATCAGAATCCCTTAGATTTTCTCCCACTTCACATCCACTCATACATAAAAATCACTCCTAAGTGGTGCATTTGCAAAATAAACTTCAAAAGGAGCCTCTATTTTCTCACTGTCACTCCAGAGAACTTTGTAGAGAGATGGCAGCTGCAACATCTGGTGCTGTGGTAAATGGGTTGGGATCTTCCTTCTTGAGTGGAGGAAACAGGAGCCAAACCCTTCTGGCCACTGCTATCGGAGGCAAAGTTGGTGCTGCTGTCAGTCCCAGAAGACTCATTGTGGTAGCTGCTGCTGCACCAAAGAAGTCATGGATCCCTGGTGTTAGAGGTGGTGGGAATTTCATTGACCCAGAATGGCTTGATGGATCGTGAGTCTACCCAAATTCCTTCTCAAATTTTGGTTTTAAAATGTCCATGCATATTTAGCAATTAATTTTTCATGTTCTGAAAATTGTTTTCAAAATAACTGCCTTTAAAAACCGAAATGGTCGAGAGATGTTTTCTCATCCTCTTCTGTTTTGTGGTCTTAGATCAGGGGTATGAACCTGTGTAGATACAAGTTAAAATTTTAAGAGTTTCTCAACCGGAAAAACGTCTTTAATTTCAGTAAAGAAACTCTTCTAAACTTATACTCTGACAAGCTCTCACTCATCTGAAATGGTGTTGAATGTGGGGAGACATGAACTTGGTGTAGTTTGTATATTTTGAAAACTAAACAATTTGTCTTCAGATTTTGAATTATTGTGTTTGAATTGCAGGCTACCAGGTGACTACGGTTTTGACCCACTAGGGCTTGGCAAGGACCCAGCATTCCTGAAATGGTACAGAGAAGCTGAGCTGATTCACGGAAGGTGGGCAATGGCTGCAGTTGTAGGCATCTTTGTGGGGCAGGCATGGAGTGGAGTGCCATGGTTTGAGGCTGGAGCTGACCCCAATGCCATTGCTCCTTTCTCCTTTGGTTCTCTTTTGGGAACCCAATTGATTCTCATGGGGTGGGTTGAGAGCAAGAGATGGGTGGACTTCTTCAACCCAGACTCACAGTCAGTGGAATGGGCCACTCCATGGTCAAGAACAGCTGAGAACTTTGCCAATGCCACTGGTGAGCAAGGCTACCCTGGAGGCAAATTCTTTGACCCTTTGGGCTTTGCTGGCACTCTCAAGGATGGAGTTTACATCCCTGACACTGAGAAGCTGGAAAGATTGAAACTGGCTGAGATTAAGCATGCCAGGATTGCTATGTTGGCCATGCTCATTTTCTACTTTGAGGCTGGACAAGGGAAGACCCCCCTTGGCGCTCTTGGCTTGTAAACTAAACAATTCATGTAGATAATTGAACCGAGAGGCTAGACAGTTGCAAATGAACCTTTGTTCTGTGTGTGTTACCCCATGACAAATTCAAATTCCATGCTCTCTAATATTGGATGCATTCACTTTATCTCCGTACTCTAATCTAGCCATTGTATAAATACTTGCATTTACTTTTCTTTCCCAAAACAGGTGTAGCTTAAGTCATATGGGAGACTTGAAAATTTTACGTTACGTCATGTCTGTGTGGACAATTCGTAGAGTTTTAAGTATCCTTGTCATACGCAATGGGGTAAAATAACATACAAGGATTGAATTGCCATAAACAAATACTCTGAAAACAAATAAGAGAACACAAGGTCAAATGACAATGTGTTATCCAGCAAAGATAATCTCGCACTAAATAGAACCAAATGTTCAGTTAGATTTCATTGAAAATGCATACATTAAATTAAATGTTCACAATGTTCTGCATTCAAAAGCAGAAGCATTTAATTAAGAGATGCAAGAAAATAAACTCTATTCCAGTTGAAAGGATCTGTCTACTTATTCGCTCCCCATCGCCATCAAAAATTCACCCTCACATACAACTTCACCTCCAACATATGCCTTCCCTTCCATCTTGGCAATTCCAAATCGCTTTTGCAGCTTAGTAAGTGTCATTCTCATAACTAAGGTATCCCCTGCAATCACAGGCTTACGAAATCGCACTTTGTCTATTCCAGCAAAGAAGAAGTTTTCACGAGAACCTCCCACTTCAGGTTGCAACATGACCAACCCACCAACTTGTGCCATTGCCTGCAGCAAAAGACCTCACATTCATGTCCGTTTCTAAAGCAGATAATTACAACAGAAATCATACAATTTTTTTCCATTTACTTTCTTACATTCCAGGTTGAGATAGTTTCTCGTCAAATGGAACTTTTACATAGCTTTTTTGCAAGTAATTCTAAAACTTACTGATGGCTAGATATTGGACTCTTGCTGATGTTCTTATCAAATTTAAAATGGTAAAAAGTACACAAATTTAAACACAGTAGACACCAAGGGGCAACCTGTAATTTGAGTATAATGCACTCAACCCAGAAAACTGCATGCATACTACACTTGAATTTCATTTCCTATGAAAGTATGAAGTATGAACCACAAATGCCAAAAATGAGGCATGGATGAAACTTGACACAAAGAAAGAGCGTCACCTACATAAATAATTAAATATCACATTCTATCAAGGGAGAGTGCATGAACATGAAGTTAGTCAAAACTCAAAAGTACTAATCAATCTGAGTCTCCAAATTTTACATTTCAAGATGGTTTAGGGTTTAGGATTTATTTTAAAATTAATTAATCAGTAAAATTGAAGTCATTATTTTACGTAATACAGACCTGCAAAAGTATGGGAACTCGTGTACATGCCATGACTTAGAACCTTATATATTTTGGCCACACACGAGATTTGTTCCCACTTGTTTTTTAGAAGGGAAATCTAAGCAAGCTATAACATTGGATTAGCTAAAATACTCCCAAAGCTGTAGCTAGATAAAATACTCCAATTTATTTTTTAGAAGATTTTAGCAAGCCAGAACTTAAATTCGCTAAAATGTTACCAACGGTGTATCGTGTATGTGTTAACATCTAAAATACTGGTTAATTATTCAAAATCCTGAAAATGTCCCTCACTCACACTCTTTTTGTGAGAATGACAAATTAATTTTCCCCTCCTTAAGATGAGTGTCCAGGGAAACTCATGAACATAAGAATGTGTCATTGTCTTACATAAGAAATGCCATATAGGTAGTGTCTATGTTTAATTCAACATGTAGATGCAAAGACATGTGCCTAAGCTGCATACACGATATTGATCAGATGGATGAGCTTTTGATAAGTCTCAGAATCTAGCACAGAGGAGCACTATTCTTATCAAACAACGGGCTAAAAAAAGCACAAGCCTACTATTGTTGCACTGCTAAAATAAATATTCAATCACACATTTAAAATCTATGCAAGTTGCAAACAGGATAAGAGCATGTCTTATAGATGACCCCAACATTATTTATATACAATTAATACATATATAGAACACCTGTGTACTTGCTAGCTCTGGCTACATTCAGGACTGGGGAGCAAACCAATGATGTTAAACTAAGTCAAGATTTTTTCACTTACAATACCCAATCAGTAACTCATAGCTTAATTGATTTGTTGATGGCAATAGCCGGGTTAGGGTAACATGAAGAACTAGCACAATCTAGAATTCCAAGATCTTTCAAAAATTCCTATCCCATGTGACTGAAAAAATTTATCCTCCAATTCAAGCTTTTTTTATCCTATGATGCAAAGCATGCACAATACTACAGTAGACTAGTTCACTCTTTTAGTGCATTTTCAATATATGTAATAAAGGGAATAAAATATAGGCAAATATTTACATTTACCACATTCAGTCCTATAAGTACGAATACACTAGAGAGGTAGAAGACTTGCATGAATAAGTGAGATTATAATAACAACATAGATTCATTTTGTAGAAGAAAACAGTCAACTTTACTGTTTCATACAGCAAGGAAGAGAGTAATCATTGTTCAAAAGCATCTACATTAACTCCTTAAAAATTTTATTATTGATATTTAAGCAAATTTATAGGTTTTCTCACGTGTTAATTTGGTTAAACCTCTTTAACAGACAGTGCACTTCTTAGTGTGGCAAATTTATAGGTTTATTAACAACCATGTTAATCTACTATGCATGTTACCTGATATGATGATGCCTAAAATCATTTAAAAATTATATTACAGAAGTTCCATTTCAACTGCAAATACAACAAGTTTACAAACATGCAAATGGATACATCATTTTGCAGATGCAAATTTTATAAGAGATTATTACTTCTCAATTCTTACAGTTTCAAATGAACTACTATTGTAAGGAATGAGGATACATCATAAATCCAAGTAAAGCAAGAAAGATTGATGCGATATCACAAAATTTACACAACTAAACTTAGGTGTAGACATCATAACAAATCCGTTCTATTTTATCTAATCCAATAAACAAATTACCACATTCCAGAAACACAAAAAATATCATCATATACTTAGAGACAAGGCAAGGACAATATAATAAGAGATATTTCAAAGATAGGGGCATAGTGTATTATAGTTTAGTACCTCGACCATTAGAACACCAGGCATGATTGGTCTTTCAGGAAAATGTCCAGGAAAGAAGTTGTCATTTATTGTCACATTCTTTATGGCCACTGCAGAAACTCCAGGATTGTATTCAATCACTCTATCCACCAGAAGAAAAGGAAACCTGAAGGATAAAAAAAGTGGCAAATTTGAATCTAATTTATATAATTAACAAAACAATTTAGAAAATGAGAAATGTTGAGAGAGTACCTATGGGGCAAAATATCACGAATCTGATTGATATCCATGACGGTAGGGAATGCGGGATACCCTGCAAAATGCACGAACGTGGTATTTCAGTTGTCAAAGAAGAAAAGAAATTGGAATGAAGAGAGGGAAACAAAATCCATACTTAATTCAATGGGGGTGTCGTGTTGAGGAGCATTAGCATTATCCGAGGAGCAAAAGGTGGTGAGCGACGTCGTTTTCCTCAAGGGGGTAGGGAAGTGACGGGATCTAGTGTTGGGGAATTTGAGAAGTGAAAATTTGGGTTGCGAGGAAAGGGGTTTTGGTTTGGACGGAGCAGAAATGGGAGAAAACAATGCGTTGGAGAAAGAAGAAGCTGCCATTGGCACACCAGAGGATGTAATCGTAATCGAAGTGAGTGTGGAATTGCAACACAGGCTAATTCACGTTAAAAGCGAAGGAAGGCGACAAAAACAAGAAAGTTCAATGCTACGTTTTGAGTTTCAGGTAGGGCGGAGCCTCCCATGTTGTCTGTCCAGTGTCCACTGTTGGACTATAAAAACTATAACTCTTTCTGTCTGTCACTCTGTAGTTAGTTGCTTACTATTTCAATGTTGGATCTCTTCTAGGCCCATTTCAAATCTAATGGCCCAACCTCATACGCAGGTATGCACCTTCACTCATTTTAACAATTTTGTTCAATAGCTTTCAATTTTTAGCTAACAAGTAACGACTCTCAAATATGGATTAGCTACTTTTTCAGCTTTAAACTAGCTTATAAACTATGTTTATAAAACATAACCTTCGTTCCCATAATATTTAAGGAAATTCACGATCATTAAAGTGAAATAAATTATGCATATTACTCACAACAGGATCGATGCACTTGTAGCTAGTAAAACAATTGTTTCTGTTAGGTCCAGAGTAGGCTTAATAGTTACTCACAGCTAAAACAAGAGATGAGTAAAAAGAGACAAGGGAGAGAATAACCACAGAAAAAAATATTATTTACTGAAAGGGAGGAAATTACAACACTTCTCTCTCTATAACTTACTCCTTTCTATTAGGAGACTACTACTACCGAGAACAGATCTCAAGGTGTATAAGAGAGGAAGAGAGAAGAGAAGAAGATTTGGGATGAAAATTATGATTTTCAGCTTCCCTATTTATAGGAAAGTCCCAATGGCATTTTCGTAATTTCTCCTAAACTTTTAATATTATTTTATTATCATGTGGGACCCGCTTTTAATTTTAAATTAAAAAAGCCACCGAAAGTGGCATTGGCAGCTGGTGGCAGCTGTTCCCAACATTTCTCCCACTTGAAGATTATGATTAAGTTAATCATATCTTCACACAGGAAAAATAAAAAAAAATATTTAAATTTATAAGTTTAATATTTTAAAAAAAAACTTATCCGAAGCATTTGTTTTCATGCCTCCAACATGTGATACATAATCTTTTAAATTCTAAGATTGTAGATTATAAACTTAATACTCAACCATACAAATCAACTTATAAGGTAAGTGTTGCCCCAACTTATATACTCCTTGATTGCTTTATTTTCAATCAATGTGGGACTTGAAGTTTTTTTTTAAAATATTAAACTTATAAATTTAAATATTTTTTTTTATTTTTCCTGCGGATTAAAATTTGTAGGAAAATCTACAGGAAAAGTTACCTGCAAATTTTTTTTACCAATTTAGTAAACATTACTTGCGAATTTATTTTTGCAAGAAAATCTGCGAGAAACAAAATAAAATTCTTACAATATTTTCTGCAAATTTTTACCATGGAAAATTTTTTTTATGATTATTAAAATTGTAGCAAAATTTGTAAGAAATATCTGTAAATTATTTTTCGCAAATAAATTCGCAAAAAATTTCTGCGAATATTTTTTCGCAGGAAAATTTGTAAAAAATTTCTGCGAATATTTTTTTGCAAGAAAATTCACAAAAAATTTATGCGAATATTTTTTTGTAGGAAAATTCGCAAGAAAATGACACTTTTCTAGTAGTGTTAATTAATTCATTAACTTTGATACCATTATTGAAATTAAATACTAGAAAACATTTTACTAATGGATAATGAGTAAATTATTAGTGAACTTTTGTATGCCGTGCAGACCCTTCAGTTGTTGCAGAGAAATAGTAATGACAGCTCCACCCATGAATCCCACAATGTCAGCATGAGACAAAAAATCAAGCAGGAAACCAAGCCTGCAAAATTCATCTGTAGATTGTAACAACAAAAATTTAGGCAAAACATATATATGGAAAAATCCAAGTCTCACGCTAATTACATATAAGGCCAAAATAGAGTATTAAAATACGGCACAATCCTCATCATAAGACTTTCGTAAGAATGACTTCTGCTCCAAACTCACACACTAATATGTATTAAAGTTTCTCTTAGATCTATTAAAAAAAGATCACATACCATACTATTCTATACTAAACCTAATAATACCAAACATGAGTGAATGTATTAAAAAATATGTAAGTTTCACATCAAATAAGACCAAAATATAGTGTATAAAAGTGGGTAGAGAATAAATTAGGCCCTAAACTTGTATTATCTAAAAGCAAAAAACAACAGTGCATGATAATCATTTTCTCATAATGTGTGTTAAAGCTTAAATCAATTCTATAAAACCAGTTTATAAAATAAGAATTATCTCTTATATATTCTATCTATGTTAATTTTATTTTTTGTTGATATGAGATTTAAATTTTTCTTAATATAACATCTTATGTTCAATATTATTGGACTTAATATATATAAATAATGGGTGATCTTTTTTTTATACTGAATCTAGAACAATTCTAATAAATATTAGAATGTGAATTTGACCTAATTTAATTCTATAAAATTTGTAAGATGAGAAATGTCTATCACATACATATCTTTATATTAGCTTTAGTTTTAATTGAAATGAGACATGAAATTTTCTCGATACATTTCCTAATCCAACCAACACTATTATACCTTAGAAGACCAAGTGCCATTTGAGTGATTCCTGCAAAGAAGGTGGCAGTAAATACAAGACGCAGGTATTCATGACTATGGTAGTCACTAATTTCTTCAGATAGCATAGTCCCAAGCAAGAGGTACACCACAGCAACGGGTCCTATGGCAACGCGCCTTGAGCTTCATGCAAGCATACATAATAGGAGTCAGAAAACTGGTGTCTGCACAGAGTGAAGGAAAGCCAAGTCATATAACTGAAGAACTAACATGTCCAAGTTGCTTTCTTAAATATTAAAATAAATCAAGATGCTCACATAGTGCATATTATTGGGGATCCAAATACGCAAGCTTTGAGTATGCAATCTCCTGCCATGCATTCATATGTCAAAAAGTGAAGCAAAAACACGTAACAAACGATTAGCGCGCGGTATATTTTCTATCTCTCTTTTTTTATAAGATGAAATTCATGTAAGTTACATTTGTCTCGAATGAGACCCCAAATAAGAAATGGGTAAAGAGTGTGTTCTTTAACATTTTTCATATCAATAATTTGGCTAACATATATTTTAGTCTCATTTCATTTTATTTTTTTCAGTTTGATCCCTTGTATCTAAAAAGAAAATTTACAATGGTATCTTAAAGTATACAAGTAAGACTAAATTCGTCTTTCTGTTAATTTTTTAACCAATTTGACTCTCACTATGCATGTATCCACCAAAGTGATCAAATTAATATGGTAATTTGATAGAAGAATTAACTTAGTCCAACAAACATACTTTAAGAACTAAAAAAAACTTTTTTAAATTTTAAGAGACCAAAGTAATATAAAAAAAATAAATAAAAAAGTAACCATAAGTGAATTTTAGCCATAAATAAATATACTAATAACGTGATTGAGATCGAAGTGACTATTTACCTGAGGGATACAAAGACTTGCAATGGTGAGTCCAGCAAGGAAATCCCCTCTGAATTTTGGAAGATTGTAATCCCTTGCCCAGTCAAAAATCACAACCTTTTATCTCATATTAAATCTAACGTTTAAATACATTCTTTAATTTGGGATGCATAACGGCATGAGAGTGAATTGGGCTTCAAGCCCACTGTTTAGACGAATTCTTAATCGTGAGAGTAGTCTAATGTGAAATGTTTGTTTCAAAAGTAAGAAAGGGTTTACAAATTAAAATAAATAAAAAATTAGATTATCATTATAAAAGTTTAAAAACCAATGGGTTGTTTGAATTTGCGATTTTTTTTCTATGGACAAGAAATTCACCAAGAAAACAATATGTCATTTTCTCAATTACGTCTTCAATAAATATAAAAATGATTATACAATCATAATATATAGTGGTAATCATATGAGAAACTGTTAATTATGTGACTGAATACTAGTTGAACATGAAAATATTTAAGGGAAATTGCCTCCAAAACTACGACGGAGTAACATCTGTAGATTAGTGTATGACTGAAAGTCTGAAACTCATTATTTTAACAAAAAAGTTTACGTTATTCTGAATTGGACATATAATTTAATTTTGTATTCTATTTAGCTAATATATAAACACATTATATTATTACTGTGAGCGAAGATAAACACAGAGGAAAACTTACGTTGTGGTCGAAGGGTTTGAATATTTGATATGGTTATTTTTTGTTGATATGAGATTTAAATTTTTCTTAATATAACATCTTATGTTCAATATTATTGGCATTAATATATATAAATAATGGGTGATCTTTTTTTTATAATGAATATAGAAAAATTATAATAAATATTAGAATGTGAATTTGAAATAATTTAATTATATAAAATTTGTAAGATGAGAAATGTATATAACATAAATATCTTTATATTAGCTTTAGTTTTAATTGAAATGAGACATGAAATTTTCTCGATACATTTCCTAATCCAACCAACACTATTATACCTTAGAAGACCAATTTTTTTATAGGAATAAAGAGGTCGAGAAAATGTAATCTCATGCGAGTTAACAAATTAATAATTCTTAGGCATATTTTATTTTTGGAAAAATAATAATATTCTCACATGTAATTATTTTTTATTCACGAGAGAAGAGATGAAATAAATGATTTTCATGGGACTATAATTAAATATGTCAAAATGGTACAATGCGACAACTTTGTCTAATAGTCAAAACAATGAGAATGGGTCGTGTTAGGAAGTTAACATCTAAGAATACTTCATCAATAAATAGTGAATAATTCATGTGAATGAACTTGATATCATATCTTAATCCAAAATTTTAAGACATTTAATTGGTAAATCTTTTTTTACTTATCCAACTATATTCAATGTGGGTCACTTACATTTGAACTTCAACACTTCTTCTTAAGTGTGAATCACTTTCACATGGTCACACTTCTCGTTAAGGGAAAATCATTTTTTTATCATAAGTATTCAATGGTAGATACAAGAGATAATCTCACTCTTGAATCTACTGTCCTCCCTATTATTTGTCAACTCAATTGTTTAATAGGGATCTCACTTTTAGATTCATTGCCAATTTTATTAACCAATACTTATTTAAATTGGTTATTAGCTACTTACACTACTAGAATTTTTTTATTACATGCGACTTTTCCTGCGAATTTTTGTTCCTGCGAATTTTTCTGCAAAATTTTATCTGCAGGTAATACCTTCGTGGATAATATATTTTTGCGAATTTTAAAATTTGCAGGAAAGTTTCTTGCAAAAAAAAATTTGCAGGAAAGTTTCCTGCAAATTTTTTCGCAAGAAATTTTGCAGGAATATTTTTACGAAAAAATTTAAAAAAATTACTATAAATTCTATCAATAATTTTTCAACTTTCAAATGCTCACAATGAATTCATCCGAAGCATTTGTTTTCATGCCTCCAACATGTGATACATAATCTTTTAAATTCTAAGATTGTAGATTATAAACTTAATACTCAACCATACAAATCAACTTATAAGGTAAGTGTTGCCCCAACTTATATACTCCTTGATTGCTTTATTTTCAATCAATGTGGGACTTGAAGTTTTTTTTTAAAATATTAAACTTATAAATTTAAATATTTTTTTTTATTTTTCCTGCGGATTAAAATTTGTAGGAAAATCTACAGGAAAAGTTACCTGCAAATTTTTTTTACCAATTTAGTAAACATTACTTGCGAATTTATTTTTGCAAGAAAATCTGCGAGAAACAAAATAAAATTCTTACAATATTTTCTGCAAATTTTTACCATGGAAAATTTTTTTTATGATTATTAAAATTGTAGCAAAATTTGTAAGAAATATCTGTAAATTATTTTTCGCAAATAAATTCGCAAAAAATTTCTGCGAATATTTTTTCGCAGGAAAATTTGTAAAAAATTTCTGCGAATATTTTTTTGCAAGAAAATTCACAAAAAATTTATGCGAATATTTTTTTGTAGGAAAATTCGCAAGAAAATGACACTTTTCTAGTAGTGTTAATTAATTCATTAACTTTGATACCATTATTGAAATTAAATACTAGAAAACATTTTACTATTCAAATAAAAATATATCCATGTAATAAATAAAATGTTTTAAGATTTTTTTTTACTATTAATTTTGGTGGTGAGTAAGAGTAATCTTATTTTATTTACGTTTTTTATTTAATCTAAAAAACTTTTTTTGAAACAGCATTGCTCGAACCAGTTGTAATATAATGTTGGCACGGAAAGGTTATAGTCATGAAAAGTTTGTTACTAGAGTCAGCATCATGTTGTCGCTGTCTTCTAAAAACCATAATCAGCAAATGAATATTAATTAGTGTTGCATTCCCACGGTAATCACATCACATGGTATTGTCTTTAGATTCAAACCACTAATTAGCAAATGTCTCTTTTCGACCATTAATTATATCCACTACGTACTCGATCCTTCTCATCAACCAGATATAATTAAGATCAACAACTTGTATCAATCAGAAGATCAAACTCATAAAATTTTTCGTTGTCCCACATAGCTAGAAATATCTCATTCTATTTATTATTAATGCAAGTTGATTGAGTAAACCGAAATTATAGAAAAAAAATAGTAAAAACACTATGGACAAGTTGTGCATTAATATTTTGTAGCTTTTTCATATCATAGATAATACAGCTAGCTTTGATCATTTTATGGTAGACAGATTTCAATGGCGGAAGCTGCTATATATAGTTACCACCCGTCAATTCTTTTAAACAACTTATCGAATATAGTACTATAAGTTATAACACCAATTATTGCACTCGATAGAGTGCCACTGTATATACCACACTCTTTTAATACTTTTTTTTTCTTTCTAATATATGCTTTTTATATTCGATTAAAATTTATTAAAAATTACATGATTATGACCATAAACCCGCATGCACACTATCGAGTCATCCCCACACTTCTGATATTTGTTTAAACTCGGATCAAACCAAGCTTAATATTATGAATTTCATGATATCTATATGCTTCACGCGATTCTTTAAGACAAAACTACACTTTATCATAATTAAGCTATAGCATATATATAGTAAGCTTTAGCGTTAATGGGAGGAAACGAAGGGAAAAGATTATTTTAAAAATAATTAATTTAGTTTAAATATTTAAAAGCAAAAAGAGAGAATATGAGGATCCTTGTCTTTATTTTAAATATTAAGGGAATTTGTGAGAGAGGCTTCAGATTTAATAAAATATCTTAAAAATTTATTCTATTACATTTTCTGTAACTTTTACACTTCCGAAACATTTTGTCTCACCAGCAAAAACAGAAGAAAAAGAAATTTGAGACTACGAAGTTATGATATACACTTGAAGAAAGATAAATAAAACCACTTTTTGGAAGCAATGTATCAATCTATTTCAAGTGGGTAGCTAGTTGATAGCAGAACAAATCTTGCGAATTTCACCATCAGTACCGGTCTTCAACTCAATGTTGCTCATCTTCACCATAGACCTTCCAAATTCCACGTTGAATACCAAGCCTTTGAGGACCACATACCTCTGCACAAATGTCTTTGTGGAAGCATCATTCCAAAGCGCTTGATCAGACTGAAGAATTCCACGTCCGTTCCTCAAGTTAGCGAAGTAAGATGCATCAAATCTGTTTTGACTACCGGTGTCTAGTGCAACTCGGTTTGAAGCACCACTGTTTTGAGGGCACAGTGCTCGTAGTTGAGGAAGAAATGAAGGGTTGATGGAAGAGTCAGGACCATTTGCAGTGAAGTTGTATAATCTGTTACTGAAGAATTGACAAGCTGTTGTTCCAATTGTATGTCCACCTATATATACATTCACCAAAATATAAATATTTAGTTCAACTCTCTATTGTGAACTAGTCCTACCTTAATTTCATATAACCTTTTCTTAATTGTATAGTCGTTGAGAACTAACGTCTTTTAATTTATTAAAACAGCTACAAAGTAAACGTCATATATATATATGTGTATATATATATATGTGTATATATATATATATATATATATATATATATATATATATCACTTGACAATGAGAGAAAACTAATTAAGACCTAAAAAAGATGTTTCCATTTTCCGATGAACACGTATAAGAAAAGTACTTGTTGCATCTGAAAAAGTCAACAATTCAGCTCAGTATTGTCATTGTATTTGTATTTTGCCACTACGTAGTGAGAACTGAGCTATCACAAATTAAAGCAACCGTGACACTATTTGATTATAGGTATAGGTAATTACCAACAAGGGTGACGAGGTCTTGAGTGTTGAGACCCTTAGCTGAGAACTTTTGTTTTTGAACATCAACAGAGTCAAAAGGAGCTGGCAAGTTATTTACATCGGAAGCCTGTGATATGCGTCCATCTCTGCGTCCAGTAGGCACCTGCCAACTAAGTCCACCACTCTGCCATGCAAAAATATAGACAAATTTTATTTATAAACTCATTACATAAAAGTATATGAGATTCAAACATTGCAATATAATCTGAGTTAATTACCAGCACAACGGAATCACGAGCAGCAAGAGCAAGGATGTCAGCACAAGACACAACACCAGGGCATGCAGCTTCGAGCTGTGTCTTTGCATCATCAATGACTTCATAACCTCTTAAACCAAGGTTTGCAAATGCTGTTCTCTCAGTGCCAGCACCAGCAATGAGAACGGAAGCATCACAACCTTGGACAAAGCAGTCATGGAAGTGCATCCGAAGCAACCCAGCAGCCAAGGTAGGATCAGATCTAACGTGGGATTGAACCGTGGACCTAACAATGAACTCAGCGCGTGGACATGCACTTGAATAGAACCCTACACGCGTCCCTTGGCCATGCACCGTGTTGACAATGGCCAAAGCAAGCAAAAGACACACTAGGGGGTGCAAACTACGTCCTTCCATTTTTGTGAGGGAAAAGTTTCAAATGCACAACGTAACCTAAGTGAAATGAAACTAAGAAAGGTTATATATATGAAATAGAAAATGTTTGTTTAGGCAAGTGAATGAGAGAGTGTGGAATAGAATGCGATGAGGAGGAGTATTTATAAGAGTGGTTTGGTCAACTTAAGCTGAAAAGTAAGCAAAACCGGCTGGTACAAAACAAAAAGTATTGATCATGAAATGATAAGGCTAAGGCCTAAGGGTCACGGGTTTTGGTTGTCTTGTGAATTGGGATACCGCGTCAGTAGTCAAAGGGTGTTTACTTTTTCCTATCACCACCACTAGCATGCAAGTAAGTGGAATCTAATGCTCAGTCCAATCTAATGTTCACGTAACCATGTTGACTTTTCCCCCTCTCTTTATCCAAGATATTGACCAATGTTTCCTAACTATATAACTTTTTTGTAAGATAAAACCAAGATTTTAATGACACAAAAAATTAACTTGCTATTATTATCTTTGTAAATTTTTCCTCTCAAAGGCTTTATAAAATTGGTTACGACTAAAAATTCTGAAAGTGGTCTTCATTAGGGTAACTTGCTGTCACTTTAATTTATTAATTTTTCATGTTAAAATATAAATAGTTTTTTTTTCAAATTATAACCATTTTGCTATAAATTGCGTTTATATACAATATTATTATAATGATTGGATTAATAATACTCTTGGTATTTTTTCGTTTCTAGTTAATGTTCAATTCCCAATTAGGGAACATGATTAGGAAAGCATTTTATATTTTAGTAGTATACATGTGACCATCGACAGAGAAGGAATGAGTGGCTTTTATGTGTACCAATTTTGCCATATTATATACTAGAAGAATAAAGTTAATGTTTTGGCATAAGTAAAACCTACGCCTTAAATTGACCAATATCTGAATCCTCATTTGTAATTGCATGAATATTATTTTTGCTTTATTCCTTTCTTAATAACAAATTAAAATTACATCAACTGCGATTTTAATATGTTTAGATAACATATGCTAAATATCATTTGTACTATTAACGTTCGAATTCCGTTTTTATTACAAAAGGATGCAGTCGTTGGGTCATACTCTAATTATTTGGGTACAGAATTTTTAGCAGAGTTAAAATATTTTAACTAACAAATTAATAGGTTGAAAACAGTTGTTTCAAATACTCTTACCGTTCTATTTTATTTAATTTAATAAAAAAATATTTTAATTAGGAATGAAAATGAGACAGGATGGATATAGATTTTTCTATCCCCGTTCTCTTACTCTTTACCTATCCCTATCCCCATATCGAGCGGATATGGAATTCATGTTTTCATCTATGCATTTGTTGGGTACATCGATTGTATTCAGGTTATACCTGTTAAAAAATTAAGTAAATATTATTTTTTGTAAAAAATATAAAAAATAAAAATTTTAACATAAAATAATAATTGTAAAATTATATTAATTAAATTTTATTTGACATAAATTGAAAATAAAATAAGAATTATATAAATATTAAATAAATATTTAAAAAAATTAAATATCTAAAAATTTAAAATGGGTATGCATGAATACGTAACGGATATGTGTATATTCATTATCGTCCTCATACCTGATTTAATTAATCGTGCATAACCTTTATCTGTACTCATGTCTGGTCATATTGGATATTATATCCATTAAAATTGGGAAAGGTTCGAACATTATTTATTAATATAAGTTTATTTGTCATCTCTAATTTTAATTTTAATTAATCTAAAATATCATAAAACATTAAATGTATTTTTCATATTATATTTTTAACTATTTATACTGAAATGAGACAATACAAAAAGAGCATAGATGAAATAATCAAATTAATATAAAAGATATATAAAAAATATATAATTAATAATTTAATGAAATTTCAAATAATGATTATATATTTTTAATATATTTACAAAATTGTCAAGTTTCAAACAAAATAAAATGGAGAGAATAGTATGTTTTATACAATAAATAAATTCAACGAAAAGGTTTTAATTAGTACGTCATGACAAGTGTGCTACAAAAGTCAATTTCATGTTTTCCCTTTCATTTTCAAAATCGCCACAATCGGCGGATGAATAATTGGTATTGCATTCCCATGGCATGCATATGACTTTGTCTTAAATTGGAATCTCTGAGCAATTATGTCTCTTTTCATCCATTATTTCCATTGTAACCAGGTAGATCGAAACTTATGCGGGATAAACTTATCTTCATTACAATAAATGTTACATATAGTGATATATAAAAAAAATATCACTATAAATATATAATATATGTAGGTATATGTCTATTTGACATATAACTATAGTTACACACAATTTTATTGTTGATTTTGAATGAGATTTAACAACATATTTTGTGTGTCACTATAGTTTATACCCACACTTTTTAATAATATACCAACATATATAATAATTATTGTGTGGGTAAAAGTAATTTTTAGTAACATGTATAGTGTCACTATAGGGTGTATGTCACTATATGACAAATTTCTTGTAGTAAGCCTTATCAATGCGAGAAAAATATAAAAGTGCAAAATAAATTATTTTTGAGTTTTTTTACTGCAAAAAACTATTAGTTATTTTTAATGGTTAAAATCAATTTATACAATTAATTTTAACAAGTTATTTTTATTTAACTTCTTAAAATATTAGCTTATATAAATTAACTTCGTATTTTAAGAAGTTACTTAACTAATAGAATATTAAATATTTTGATATATTTTATTCATTTCCTATAGATACTTATGAAACATCTATATTCCAATAGGATCTTGATAATCATGTCGACAACTTGTATTCATTGTTCAACTATGAAAGATCATACTCGTCACATTTTAAGTTGGCCAAATTAAAATTTCTCATTCTATAATATTAGTTGTAATTAATGCAAGTGTTGGTTGAGAAAACCGCCAAAAGAAATGTGGACAAGTTGTGTACCAATATATATTCTGTAGCTTTTCTACATATACATATTACAGCTAGCTTTCATGCGTTTATCATAGGAAAATTCAATGGCAGAAGCTGCTATAGTTATTAGATTGGCTCATTGAGAAGGAGTTAGTTAGTTATTGATCAAGAAATCAATTTTAGGATTCAGGAAAAAAAATTAATTACAAGTACCTTGATCATAAGAAATTTAGAAACCCGTAATTAATAAATAAAAGAAAAGGATAAACAAATAAACCATGAATATTAAAAAAGTTGTAACTGGTCTAATATATTCAAAATATTAAGATTGCTAGGATATTGTTGGGGTCACTCGAAGAAATATTTATGGAAACTATTTGAAGAGGGAGTAATCGAAGAGATACCTAACAAAAGTTGAGTAGTTACACCAAGGAGGTTACTAAATAGCGAGTGGAGAAAATAGAAAACACGTGAGATGAGCGGTTACAAAGAGTTACACTTAAAGTCACGTAATTTACGTAATGGACAGCGATTATGCACCTACGATGAACCCACATAAGATTAACCGCTCTCGATCATCTCTATAAATAGAAGAGGCAATCTCGTGTATAAAGGTCAAAAAATTCATACTTACACTTTAATTTGTAAGTACTTTTTACTTGTGCACATGACTTCTGTGCATGAGATTGCTATTGGGTATGACTTCTTGGCCATATTTTCTTTCTTAAAAATCATTATACATTGTAATCCTGCAATTATGTAATTGAATGATGATTTATATTGCCAATGTATGCATCATTCACTCAATTCATTTGAGTGTTTATGTGTATGAAGATTACTGTTCAGTTACTATTAATGAGTATTTGGAAATTAGCACTTGTTAATCATCCTGGATTATTTGTCTCTTTGTTCTTCTAGTTAGTCATTTTGTGTTATCTTCATTTTTATATTTTTGTTAAATCTCTACATATCTAAATTGAAGAATTGTGCTAGTTTGCTAGTTCGAGTAAAAAGAGCTCATTAACGAAATCTCCATCAAACAGATATTGTGTCAAGTTTAATTTCAAGCGCAATTTCATCTATGATATATGTTTTTTTATTTGTAAAAAAAAAAGTGAAATATTTTTAAAGCATTCGATAGACAATAAAGATTACCTAACGCATTTAAATCCGAATTTTGAAGCTTTTCAATCTTGTCCATCTTCCTTAAATTAAAAAGCCCGCAGAAAATTAGTGTATTAGTACATTTTTTTCATTTGAGAAATCTCAAAAATCACATAAAAATACACATATAAATGAGTTATATTTAAAAAAAGATATCTGATATTATTAATGCTTTGAAACATATAGATCAATGTTCTATAAATCATTGTAGGTTTATCATAAGGCACCCATACAACTGATGCCTGATTTAAACTTTAAGCCCTCCTCATGCGGGTTGAACCAATTTAAAAATAAAACGAATTATATTCACGATATCTATATGCATCGCACTCGATTGTTTAGAAAACATAACCTTTTTTTTTTAAGATAGAAAACATAAACTTTATCATATTAATTGCTATAGCATAAAGTTGATATTTCCATTTAGTGTTTACATGGAAAGAAATGAAGAAAAGAGAATCGAAGGATTTCTTAAAAATAATTAGTTCAAATATTTGAAAGAAAAATAAAAGAAATAAAGAATCAGAATCTTTGACCTCAGTTCTATCTTTCTTTTAAATATTAGGGGAAGTGGGAGAAAAGAAAGATTTAATAAAATATTCATGACTTAAACACTTAAAGTCGATTATTTATTTATTTATTTATTATAATATTATAATAGTGTTATTTTTCCTGCAAACTAAACAATCTTTTATTTTTTTTAAATTTACCAAATTAGAAGCAATTAGTTTACCAAATGGCAACAGAGACAAATAAAACGACTTTTAGAAGCAATTAATTTATTGTTTTAAATGGCTATATAGTTGATGGCAGAACATATCTTACGAATTTCACCATCACTTCCGGTCTTCAACTCAATGTTGCCCATCTTCACCATAGATATTCCAAATTCCACGTTGAATATTAACCCAAACACCCCTCTTAAGCCTAAGTACTTCCGTACAACTGTATTCGTAGATTCATCATTCCAAAGTGCTTGATCAGACTGGAGAATTCCACGTCCGTTCC